TCACTACCATGATCACTTCTGACTTTTATAATTTTGAAATCTTTTTCATTCTGGACTTGTTTATAGAAGTCAAAGAACACAGAATGTGACTCATCTTTGTGTTTTAAGAACTTTACCCATGTCCATCTACTATAGTCATCAACAATGACTAATCCATACTTCTTGCCTCTGATGGATGCAGTTTTCACTGGTCCAAACAGATCAATATGAAATAATTCTAGTGGTCTAGAAGTAGAAACAACATTTTTTGATTTAAAAGATGATTTTGAAAACTTCCCTTTTTGGCATGCTTCACAAAGAGCATCTGAGGTGAACTTCAGATTAGGAAGTCCTCTGACAAGATTAAGTTTATTAATCTGAGATATACGTCTCATATTAATATATCCCAATCTTCTGTGCCAGACCCATTGCTCCTCATTAACAGACAAGAGGCATTTAACATTTTGAACTTTAAGTTCTGAAAGATTTATTTTATAAATGTTGTTTTTCCTCTTACCACTAAATAGGATAGAGTCATCCTTTTGACTGATAGCTTTACAACATTTTTGATTAAAGGTAATATCATAACCATTGTCACTTAATTGACTTATGGACAATAAGTTATGCTTTAACCCTTCAACAAGTAAAACATTAGTAATAGAGGGAAGTTTACCATTTCCAATGGTGCCAGATCCAATGATCTTACCCTTCTGATTCCTCCAAATTTTACATCACCTCCAGATCTAAGCTCCAGACTTTGGAACATAGACCTTTCTCCTGTCATGTGTCACGAGCATCCAGAGTCCAGGTACCATGATTGGTGTCCTGACCTTGCTGCTAAGAACATCTGCAACATGAATTATTTTACTTTTAGGTACCCAGATCTTCTTGGGTCCTTTAGGGTTAGTTGTTCTGAAGGTTTGTCTAAACTTCTGTTTTTCAACATGAGGCTTATTCTGACTAGCCTTAGATTTAAACACATGAATATTCTTTTCAGAACGTGTTTGTTCAATATCATTTAAGTGACCAAATTTAAAGTGGGAGTATAAAGGAGTCTTTTTGATGATAATTTTATCAGCAGGTTTTGGATTTAAATCCTTTCCAGAGGAAGATTCATATCCAATTCCTTTTCTGTTATTTCTGCTAACTCCATAGATCATAGAAGCCATTTTGCTTTTGTCTATGCTTTTAGCAAGAAACTTCTGAAAGCTATAATCATATTTTTTCAAAATATTTTTGCATTCAGATTCAGTTTCAGAATCAGAGTTTTGTTGAGCTAATTCAGAATCATTTTTCAATTTTAAGTTCTTTTCATTTAGCTCAGCTACTTCTGATTTGAGAATATTATTCTCAGATACAAGATTGCTTTGACGCTTCTTGTATTTGAGCTTAATATTGTTATAACTCTTCAGAACTTCTGATAACACTTTGATAAGTTCTTCTTTAGTGAGTTTAGCCATTACCTCTTCAGCGTCAGAATCAGATTCAGAGTCAGCTTCAGAACCTGAAGTTCCTTCCTCCTGATCTTCTATGTCTGCCATCAAAGCTACATTGGCACATTCTTCTTCTGACTCAGATTCAGATTCAGATGTATCTGAATCATCCCAGGTGGCCATTAGAACCTTTTTCTTCTTATCAGATTTTCTTTTAGGCTTGTCTTTCAGGACCTTTGGACATTCATTTTTGTAATGTCCAGGTTCTTTACATTCATAACAGACAACCTCTTTTTTGCCAGATCTTTTGTGTACAGAAGATTCTTTTCTTTGGTCAGGCTTCTTGAAGTTTCTGAACTTCTTTCCTTTATGCTTCCAAAGTTTGTTTATTCTTCTAGATAGCATGGATAGTTCATCTTCATCTTCAGATGAGGATTCTTCAGAGTTTTCCTCTATTACCTGCAATGCTTTAGCAGATTTATTATATTTTAAAGCAACAGATTTACCTTTCTTTTGAGGTTTATCTTCCTCAAGTTCAATTTCATGACTTCTTAGTGAACTGATTAGTTCCTCCAAGGAGATCTTGTTCAGATCTTTAGCCATTTTCAGCGCAGTCACCATAGGTCTCCATCTGGTAGGTAAGCTTCTGATGATCTTTTTCATATGATCAGCAGTAGAGTATCCTTTATCCAGAACCTTTAGTCGAGCTGTAAGTATTTGAAATCTAGAGAACATAGCTTCAACAGATTCAGAGTCTTCCATCTTGAAGGCTTCATACTTCTGGATCAGAGCCAGAGCCTTTGTTTCCTTGACTTGAGAGTTTCCCTCATGAGTCATTTTTAAGGATTCAAACATGTCAAATGCAGTTTCCCTATTTGTAATTTTTTCATACTCAGTGTGAGATAATGCATTTAACAATATTGTTCTGGCCTTGTGGTGATTTCTAAATTCCTTCTTCTGAGCATCTGTCATAGATTTTCTGTCTACTTTCTTGCCATTCCCATCAGTGGGATGAGCATATCCATCTATGACCAGATCTCATAAATCAGCATCATATCCAAGGAAAAAACTTTCAATCCTGTCTTTTCAATAATCAAATTTCTCCCCATCAAACACAGGGGGTTTGGTGCTGATTCTGTCCCTTTCTTCATATTTGTTGTTAATGTTAGACATTGTATTATCATCCATAGTAACAACCAAATATATATCAAAGTATTTCTCACTGGATCTTTACTGTCATTGTGAAATGGTAGTACACACAGAACCGGAGCTCTGATGCCAACTGAAGGTGAGAAAATACTTAGAAGGGGGTTGAATAAGTATGAAGATAAAAACTTAGAAATAAAAACTCAAGTATTTTTATCCTGGTTCGTTGAACTCAACTACTCCAGTCCACCCTTCCTAGAGTGATTTGCCTTTCTCAATCAAGGACTTAATCCACTATTTAATCAACTGATTACAATAGTAAGCACTAAGAACAACTGTTCAAAGTCTTCTCAAGAACTATTGATCCTAACTGGATCTTCTTAAGGTTTTCTTACAATCAAATGTAATAACAAATACAAGTGTTTAAATTGCTTCTAATCAAGCTTTATCACAACTGTGATTTTTCACTTAAAGTTAAGAATAAAGAAATTAATTCTAGAGAGAATGTGAATAGTATAAGAGCTTTGAATATTGATTTCTTTTTGGATAAAACGTCAAATGAAGAAGATGGATGAAGACTTGCTTTTATAGGCAGCTGATCCAAGGAGAGCTTCACGTTGAGAAGAGTGTCCAAAAGGTCTGAGCCTTTTTGTCTTCACATCAAGTGACCTTTCCTAGAAGAAGAAAGCACAGAGAAATCCTTTTTGTCTGTGTTCTTGTGTCTAGCATAAATAAGGAAAGAGTCGTTTGAATTATTCCAACGGACATAATCTTTGAATTCTTCTTCTTTAAATTTCAGCAAGATTCATCAGAATCTACTTTGATCAGAGCCTTCTGATGTTAATCAGAGTTTTGCTGAATCAGAGTCTTCTACAGCAGGTGTGCTTTTAGCGTGTGTAAGTTCAGAGCATGTTTGAGTTAGATCCTCAGTACTCGCAGCTTTAGTACTTTCAGAATCTTCTGTAGTAACTATGCTTTGAAAACTCTTCATACAGAATTCTTCTTTGGTTCAGATGCTTCTGACTTGCTTCAGATTCTTCTGGAGCTTCTGCTTCAGATCCTTCTGGAGCTTCTGCTTCAGATCCTTCTGGAGACAGCACTCAGGATCTTCTGTTGGCAGCATTCAGAATCTTCTAATGAATGCATCTGGCGCTTCAGAGTCTAGCATATTTCTTATGTTCAGTTCTGATTTGCTTTTGGAGTGATAATTATTTTGATATCTGCAGCAAACACTCTCAAGCAAATTTTAGAGTATATAATTCTTAATTACAAAATTTCATAATAGTTATCATCAAAACATAGAGATATTATTAAGAACCAATCTGTGTTCTAACAAGTAACATGTGTATCAAACTTCTAGTCTATCATACATGGAGTCCTAAGCTTGGTGATAAATTTAGTAGCAGACATGGGCAAAAAGGTGTTTGTGGAACAATTGTCCAGCAGGAAGACTTCACGTTTTTTGAGAAAGGCATTTGTCCAGAATTGATTATGAATCCTCATGGGTTTCCAAGTCGAATGACAGTTGGAAATATTATAGAGCTTCTTGGAGGGAATGGTATTTCTTTAGTCATGACATACTCATCATTGCTATAATCAATATGAGGAGGAATTATAATTCCTGCGGCATCCATTGTTGAGGCTCTCACCAACAGAAAGTACACAGTGGTCTTATGGATAACTTACATACAATTTCTAAACAGCTAATTGGAACTCTTTAGTTGACACTACCAGTTAAATATTATGCAGTAACTTCCTTATAGGCAAAAAAACAAGGATCACATAAGTAATAACATTCATTCATCAATTGAGACTTTTCAATTAGTAAATGGCCAGAACAACAACTATACTTTGTGGTCTATGCCTAGAATAATCGACACACAAAAGGAACTCATCTTATACATCATCAATGACAAAGTTGCCCCATCAATCATACTCACTTTTGACGAAATGCTCAAGATAGTGAACTAAATTCTAATAATGTGGTTTGCGCTGTGATCTTCATGTTCCATGAGTTCTTATGAGGTCTTTTGCAGCTGCAAAGTCTATTCAAGATTCCATAATTGACAAAGTACTTTTCAGATGTCTCCTCAAACTTCTTAAGGGAATTAGAGTGAACTCCACCAGATGTTAGATACATGATTTGATAATGCATCCATTTCTTTGTTGTTGTCATGAAATTTACCTGAGCAGTATCTTATGCTCATTTAAGTCAGAAATCTTTCAAAACAATTCTATTTATCCAGCTGGAGATTTTTTTTGTCTTGTGAGTAGGCTGCGAGTACAACAATGACACTCTATTACCCATCCTCATCAACCTTGCTCTTTAACTGCAATCTAGACATGTTTTGAAAGAGATACAGAGCTAGACATGTTTTCCATCTTTTCAAATTTTAACTTCGTTTTAACCTCTCTCTTTCAGCTTTTGTCGTCTTTCAAATTTCAATAAACTGTTTCAACTTTCATATGCTTCCATAGCTGTCCCAATGTTGACTGAATAGCTTCCAGATGCGAATGCAAATGCAAGTAATAATCTGCCACAAACTCTCTAAATCTACCATCAACCTCAATAACACTCCAAGCAACCTCTTTATTTGATCCTTTTTTCTTCATCATTTGTTTAACATCCTCCACATCTGCCCATCTTCGTTCTGTAGCATACAGATTTCTCAACATCACATAGTCTACAGCACCTTCCTTCTCCAATTTCACCACCTCTTTAAGCACTCTTTCAGCCCTCGAAACATCTTTGAAGTAACAACAAGCAAACAGAAATGAAGTCAATATTATCTCGTTAGCATTGTAAGGCATGGCCTGAATCAATCTTTCAGCCTCATCCAAACATCCGACCCTTCCTAGAAGATCAACCATACAACCATAAAGCTCAATCTGAGGCCCAAATCCAATTCTCTCCATTGCCTTGAAGCATCTTCTTCCTTCCTCTACCAAACCACAATGGTTGCAAGCAGATAACACAGTAGTCATAGTTATCTCATTTGGTTCAAATCCTTCCCGTAACATGACATCAAACACCTCAAATGCTTCCTTTGCACATCCATTAACTCCATAATCGTTTATCAAAGCATTCAAAGAACCTGTATCTTTTTCCGCCATCTCCTCAAAAACTAATTTCTCTTTTCCAATCTCCCCACATTTTGCATACATATCAACCAACGCATTACACATGAATAGATCCATCAAGCTGCTTCCTTTTTACAAACCCATAAACCCAATCACCCAAATCCAAAGCACTCAAATAAACAACAACAGGAAGAACACTCACAACAGTCACTTCATTCATTTCCATATCCACATTCCTGCTCATTTCACAAAACAACTTCAATGCATCATACGGTCGTCTATTCCGACAATACCCCTTAATCATCACATTCCAACTCATCACATTCTTCTCCGACATACAATCAAACAAAAACCTAGCAGAATCAACATGTCCTAGTGATGATGTGTTCTACAATGCTTCCACCATATAGGGAGTTGTAGGGCCAAAGAGAATGTTTACGAAAGACGGCATTTATCCTGGGATGAATTGGTTTTTCCTTATTGGTCTACTTGCACCTGTTCCAGTGTGGCTTCTATCAATCAAATTTCCTAACCAAAAGTGGATTCAACTCATAGACCAAAATGAACCCAAGACATACATTTAATTTTAAACAGGATATCAATGTAAATATTGAAGGATAAAATACATAAACTAATGCTAATTAATTTCATTTATTGATTGTTGTACTAGTCTATGAGAATGAATCACACACTGAGCTCCATCAATGACACACACCATGTGACTTAAATTCAAATTAATTCAATCATCTAAATCTCCTTGAAAGAAAATGAATTCTTAAATCACTAGGCACACAACAAAACCAAAGTTGCATGGACTTAGAGAAATCCCTAACAACATGTAGATTTGTCTCTATGATATCTCCACAATAGTTACACGTATCATGACCCAAACCCATTCTATATTTAATATGGTTTGTAAGCAGTCTATTGTGGGTCTATACCAGAATTTGCAACCGCAACCCTTCAGCATTAAGAAACTCGACATAACACGTCCACACAGATAAATAATTCATTTTCTTACTCAGATTTAACTCTCAAATAGAGAAATCAAACACATAATGCTTAAAATCCAAACCAATTGAATACAAAATGAAAAGTAAAATCTAAACATGGATCTGATTCAAGGTTTGAAAAGTAATTTAGAACTTGAGAAGACAAACCTGTTAAGATTCAAATTGATGGTGGTTGCTTTGATGGTGATTCGCAATGACGACGAGAGTGGATGAAAACACATAATTGTTTCCCTCTTTCTCCAAGGGTGTGAGCGGAGGTTTCTGAAAAAGAAGAAAAAAAAGGCACATAAAAGGGGAATGAGTTCTGCGTTGAAAGTTGTAAAAATTTTGAACACACAACGACAGATTCACAATCGACATATACAATTTTATTTTAATTAATTTTTTTTATTTTACTATGTTATTGAATTGTTTTTTTATTTGTTATTTTATAATATTAAGAGTATATATAGTTTAATTTTATGCTTAATTTTTACTATAAAAATTATTTCTAAAATTTTGAGTTTATAAAATTTTGATATATAGTAAACTTTTGGTATTTTGAATTTAATTTTTATTAAATATTTTTTTTTAAATTAATGTTTTATTTTGAGAATATATAATATTTTAATTTTTATGTATTTTAATTTTTTAGTCATTTATTTATTCAAAATCCATAGATTAATTTTTAGTCCCCACAAACAAATAATTTTGGATCCGCCATTAGTTATAGTTTGTGTTACTAGGTTTAGGGGGCGACGGTTGTTCTACCATCGTGACAAAATTTAGGGCGGTTCTTGAGACAGTCGTAAACTTATTTGTAGGATGGTTTAATGATAACAGTCGTAATATTTAATAATCTTTTAAAAATATAAGGGCGGTAGGTGTATATGTCATGAAACACATCTTTATATTAGAGTTACGATGATTATCAAGTAACTGTCGCAATTTTTGTGTCGTAAAACCCTAATTTTCTTGTAGTGAAGTAAGGACAGTGAACGAAAAATGAAGGACGGTGGTGGACCAGTGCGAGAGGAAAAATTGAGTTTCCTGAGCGTGAAACATAATGAGTTTGAAAGCTTTCTCATTTTTAAAAAAATATATTTGTATGCTAGTATAGTTCTATTTTTTATTGAATTAGTATTGATATTGCTACTATTATATTATAAATACTACTAATATTAATATAATTAATAATAATTATGTGATATTGTAATTACTATTACTATTATTATTATTATTATTATTATTATTATTATTATTATTATTATTATTATTATAGTAATTAGTGAATAAAAGTGAAAAGGTGGAAAAATAAAACAGTTAACGAGAAAAATAGGAAAATAAAGTAACAATTATGATTGGTCAAAGTAGTCGCGACAGTTAGTTTTAACAGTCGCGAGTCTCAAAAGAGGGTGGTTCTTTGATAATCGTCGCAATTATATTACTCGACATGTTTAGAAAATATGTGAGTGTTGGCTCTAACTGTCGCAGTCCAGGAATAAGGACAGTTTTGTAGGAACTATCGCAACTCATATGTCGTAAATCTTCTTTTTTCTTGTAGTGAAATCAGCTAATATCTACACACTTCTAGAATATGATTATAATTGTTCCCTAAAAATAACCAACACACACTTATTTTCTACCGTGAACTACAAAGCTCTAATTTTCTTATTGGACTTTGAGGATATGTAGGCACGAGGGTGTAAATCCTTGGTGAGCACACTAATTTAAAAACTTATTTTCCCCCTTTCGCAAGTAACCTTTAGATAGTAGAATTCATCTATGCAAAGAACAATAAAAATGGTTCTCATTGAGTACAACTAATGTGAAGGATGCTAATATCTTCGTCAAAGAGCTCCCTGCATCTCTAATGACCAAGATATCTATATCAAATTTTTCCCAAGCGGCCTTAGCCAGGGCTTGAGCTTGACACTTTTTGGAAGGCCTTGAGTTTATCATTAAGTTCTATGTTATCTATAAGAAGAAAGCAAAGAGAAAATATTAGTAATTCAATAAGAAAGGTTAAGTAGGGAGGGAAAAAGAGGAAAGTTCATCATACACACGCAAGAAACTCTTGCATCATCCCAATCAACATCTAAAACCAATGACCGCATATCAACATATCAATTCCCCCACCTATGAGATTTAGATTTACCGTCATAAGAAGAAATTTGATCAAAGTCATCAACAAAATGATGAATGGAAGTATGGGTGGCGAAACGGGCCCGACCCGTCAGGCATGCCCGTTTTGCCTACACTTTTTTGAGGGGCGAAATAAGGTTTTAGGCCTTCACCCTCTAATATGCCCTTTCCACGTGCATTACCATTAAAATTTGCAATTTTTTAGCTTAAAATTTGCAATGCCGGCATGTCCACCCGCCTCACACTAATTTATTTGCGGAGCAGGGCAAAGGTTTAGGCCCTAACCCTCAATAAAGCCCATGCCGCTCACCCTATTTTTTTAGGGCTTTTACGGGCGAGCCTAAATGGGATGGGCATACCCGTTTCTCACCCTTAAATTAAGGTTATACCAGTCTTGTCTACTTGAGAAAGATTTGATAAGTTGAAGGAAATGTTTGCCTTGCACGACCAAAAATATCACGACTCCAAATTTTGGGAAATTTAGGTTCACACACTACATCAAGGGTCTCCTCTACAACTACATATATTCGAGTGAGACTCAACCACGACATAGTGAAACTTAAAGTTTTTTAAAGACTCGGTGAAAACCTCAAACATTTTAGGGGGTTTTCAAAATGGATTAAGCCATAGGGATAACCATAACCTTCCCAAATAATTTAAAAATATGGAAGAAAGTCCTCAAAGAAGCTTCCCGGTCTAGATACCAGTACACAAATTAGATATCTCATATAAAGGCCTAACATTTAGGGTGAAACTACGAAGAATCTAGGATAAATTAAAGAAGAATTTCTTGCTCGAAGGTAGTAAATAGAAGAAATAATCCTGAAAGAATCCATTAACTATGTAATGTCCAAAAACTAGAGGGGTGTGTGCGTGTGTGTGTGTGTTCCCCTGCAAGAACAAGGAGACTCAAAGGCTCTAGTAGGTATATTACACATTTGAGGGTGAGGGCTAACTCACGACGGTGAGTAACACTGTATAGTGGTTTTTGAGACTGTTTAAAGGACCAACTCGCGTAAGGTGAGAGGCCTTGTTGGCTGCTGATAGTGCTAGGTTACAAGCGGGAGGATAAATTGATGGTCTTAAGATCACTAAGAGTGAAGTGCTCTCTGAGTAGTGGATAGTAGTAAATGTGTATTACTTGAGATTCTATCCCTTATCCCCTTAAGGGATCATGTATTTATATGGATTCCTAGGGTTTTACCCCCCTTGACGCGCTCTTAACCATTCCCCACTTACTAGAGAGGGTTGTTGACCACCTATTTTCTCGGAGTCAATGAGGACTTTCTATTGTGTGACTCCTACATCCGCAGGCCCTCCCAAGTGAATCCCTCATATATACCCGCCCGATTTAAGCTCATTTGACCCTTTTAAGGTGGTTTTGGATGGGGAGCTGATGAATGAAGAATGATTTATTTTCTTTTTGGGTTGTAATCTTGTTTATCCCTTTAGGTTTTTTGTAACCATTTTTTTATAGCGGCAGCCCCCTTCGGGCGTCTTTATATTAATTATTTTAAGTGTTAAATGCTCTATTATTTTGCCTTAACCTTAAGGCTTCTTCTTGCTATGGTTGTCTCTGAGGGGCGACAATGATCCTTCCTTAGGGGATCCAGCAAGTATAATTACCTATATGAGCGGCAAGGATCATCCCTTGGGAGATCCATCAAATATAATTGCCTCTATGAGCGGAAAAAGGGATCTAGTAAATATAATTTCCTGTATGGGCGGAAATGATCCTCCCTTGGGGGATCCAACAAATATAATTTCCTCTCTAGGTGGCAAGAATTCTACCTTGGGAGATCCAACAAATATAATTATCTCTATGGGACAAGGATCCTCCCTTGGAGGATCCAACAAATATAATTGCCTCTCTGAGCGACAAGGATCCTCTCTTGG